CACCCTTACTTTGGAGTTTGGGGTTTTGGCTTGTTCGAACAGCAGCAACAGGGGCAGCAGCAGCAGGTGATGGCAAAGCGAGTGGTTTTATGCTCCCTGTGCTCTTCCCCCAGAGGTGACTTTTGAGTCGACTCAAAAGTCAGCAGGGAATGGCAAAGCGAGTGGTTTTATGCTCCCTGTGCTGTGCCCCCAGAGCTTCAGCAATGCCTGGTATGTTCCACCCTTACTTTGGAGTTTGGGGTTTGGCTTGTTCGAACAGCAGCAACAGGGGCAGCAGCAGCAGGTGATGGCAAAGCGAGTGGTTTTATGCTCCCTGTGCTCTTCCCCCAGAGGTGACTTTTGAGTCGACTCAAAAGTCAGCAGGGAATGGCAAAGCGAGTGGTTTTATGCTCCCTGTGCTGTGCCCCCAGAGCTTCAGCAATGCCTGGTATGTTCCACCCTTACTTTGGAGTTTGGGGTTTTGGCTTGTTCGAACAGCAGCAACAGGGGCAGCAGCAGCAGGTGATGGCAAAGCGAGTGGTTTTATGCTCCCTGTGCTCTTCCCCCAGAGGTGACTTTTGAGTCGACTCAAAAGTCAGCAGGGAATGGCAAAGCGAGTGGTTTTATGCTCCCTGTGCTGTGCCCCCAGAGCTTCAGCAATGCCTGGTATGTTCCACCCTTACTTTGGAGTTTGGGGTTTTGGCTTGTTCGAACAGCAGCAACAGGGGCAGCAGCAGCAGGTGATGGCAAAGCGAGTGGTTTTATGCTCCCTGTGCTCTTCCCCCAGAGGTGACTTTTGAGTCGACTCAAAAGTCAGCAGGGAATGGCAAAGCGAGTGGTTTTATGCTCCCTGTGCTGTGCCCCCAGAGCTTCAGCAATGCCTGGTATGTTCCACCCTTACTTTGGAGTTTGGGGTTTTGGCTTGTTCGAACAGCAGCAACAGGGGCAGCAGCAGCAGGTGATGGCAAAGCGAGTGGTTTTATGCTCCCTGTGCTCTTCCCCCAGAGGTGACTTTTGAGTCGACTCAAAAGTCAGCAGGGAATGGCAAAGCGAGTGGTTTTATGCTCCCTGTGCTGTGCCCCCAGAGCTTCAGCAATGCCTGGTATGTTCCACCCTTACTTTGGAGTTTGGGGTTTTGGCTTGTTCGAACAGCAGCAACAGGGGCAGCAGCAGCAGGTGATGGCAAAGCGAGTGGTTTTATGCTCCCTGTGCTCTTCCCCCAGAGGTGACTTTTGAGTCGACTCAAAAGTCAGCAGGGAATGGCAAAGCGAGTGGTTTTATGCTCCCTGTGCTGTGCCCCCAGAGCTTCAGCAATGCCTGGTATGTTCCACCCTTACTTTGGAGTTTGGGGTTTTGGCTTGTTCGAACAGCAGCAACAGGGGCAGCAGCAGCAGGTGATGGCAAAGCGAGTGGTTTTATGCTCCCTGTGCTCTTCCCCCAGAGGTGACTTTTGAGTCGACTCAAAAGTCAGCAGGGAATGGCAAAGCGAGTGGTTTTATGCTCCCTGTGCTGTGCCCCCAGAGCTTCAGCAATGCCTGGTATGTTCCACCCTTACTTTGGAGTTTGGGGTTTTGGCTTGTTCGAACAGCAGCAACAGGGGCAGCAGCAGCAGGTGATGGCAAAGCGAGTGGTTTTATGCTCCCTGTGCTCTTCCCCCAGAGGTGACTTTTGAGTCGACTCAAAAGTCAGCAGGGAATGGCAAAGCGAGTGGTTTTATGCTCCCTGTGCTGTGCCCCCAGAGCTTCAGCAATGCCTGGTATGTTCCACCCTTACTTTGGAGTTTGGGGTTTTGGCTTGTTCGAACAGCAGCAACAGGGGCAGCAGCAGCAGGTGATGGCAAAGCGAGTGGTTTTATGCTCCCTGTGCTCTTCCCCCAGAGGTGACTTTTGAGTCGACTCAAAAGTCAGCAGGGAATGGCAAGCGAGTGGTTTTATGCTCCCTGTGCTGTGCCCCCAGAGCTTCAGCAATGCCTGGTATGTTCCACCCTTACTTTGGAGTTTGGGGTTTTGGCTTGTTCGAACAGCAGCAACAGGGGCAGCAGCAGCAGGTGATGGCAAAGCGAGTGGTTTTATGCTCCCTGTGCTCTTCCCCCAGAGGTGACTTTTGAGTCGACTCAAAAGTCAGCAGGGAATGGCAAAGCGAGTGGTTTTATGCTCCCTGTGCTGTGCCCCCAGAGCTTCAGCAATGCCTGGTATGTTCCACCCTTACTTTGGAGTTTGGGGTTTTGGCTTGTTCGAACAGCAGCAACAGGGGCAGCAGCAGCAGGTGATGGCAAAGCGAGTGGTTTTATGCTCCCTGTGCTCTTCCCCCAGAGGTGACTTTTGAGTCGACTCAAAAGTCAGCAGGGAATGGCAAAGCGAGTGGTTTTATGCTCCCTGTGCTGTGCCCCCAGAGCTTCAGCAATGCCTGGTATGTTCCACCCTTACTTTGGAGTTTGGGGTTTTGGCTTGTTCGAACAGCAGCAACAGGGGCAGCAGCAGCAGGTGATGGCAAAGCGAGTGGTTTTATGCTCCCTGTGCTCTTCCCCCAGAGGTGACTTTTGAGTCGACTCAAAAGTCAGCAGGGAATGGCAAAGCGAGTGGTTTTATGCTCCCTGTGCTGTGCCCCCAGAGCTTCAGCAATGCCTGGTATGTTCCACCCTTACTTTGGAGTTTGGGGTTTTGGCTTGTTCGAACAGCAGCAACAGGGGCAGCAGCAGCAGGTGATGGCAAAGCGAGTGGTTTTATGCTCCCTGTGCTCTTCCCCCAGAGGTGACTTTTGAGTCGACTCAAAAGTCAGCAGGGAATGGCAAAGCGAGTGGTTTTATGCTCCCTGTGCTGTGCCCCCAGAGCTTCAGCAATGCCTGGTATGTTCCACCCTTACTTTGGAGTTTGGGGTTTTGGCTTGTTCGAACAGCAGCAACAGGGGCAGCAGCAGCAGGTGATGGCAAAGCGAGTGGTTTTATGCTCCCTGTGCTCTTCCCCCAGAGGTGACTTTTGAGTCGACTCAAAAGTCAGCAGGGAATGGCAAAGCGAGTGGTTTTATGCTCCCTGTGCTGTGCCCCCAGAGCTTCAGCAATGCCTGGTATGTTCCACCCTTACTTTGGAGTTTGGGGTTTTGGCTTGTTCGAACAGCAGCAACAGGGGCAGCAGCAGCAGGTGATGGCAAAGCGAGTGGTTTTATGCTCCCTGTGCTCTTCCCCCAGAGGTGACTTTTGAGTCGACTCAAAAGTCAGCAGGGAATGGCAAAGCGAGTGGTTTTATGCTCCCTGTGCTGTGCCCCCAGAGCTTCAGCAATGCCTGGTATGTTCCACCCTTACTTTGGAGTTTGGGGTTTTGGCTTGTTCGAACAGCAGCAACAGGGGCAGCAGCAGCAGGTGATGGCAAAGCGAGTGGTTTTATGCTCCCTGTGCTCTTCCCCCAGAGGTGACTTTTGAGTCGACTCAAAAGTCAGCAGGGAATGGCAAAGCGAGTGGTTTTATGCTCCCTGTGCTGTGCCCCCAGAGCTTCAGCAATGCCTGGTATGTTCCACCCTTACTTTGGAGTTTGGGGTTTTGGCTTGTTCGAACAGCAGCAACAGGGGCAGCAGCAGCAGGTGATGGCAAAGCGAGTGGTTTTATGCTCCCTGTGCTCTTCCCCCAGAGGTGACTTTTGAGTCGACTCAAAAGTCAGCAGGGAATGGCAAAGCGAGTGGTTTTATGCTCCCTGTGCTGTGCCCCCAGAGCTTCAGCAATGCCTGGTATGTTCCACCCTTACTTTGGAGTTTGGGGTTTTGGCTTGTTCGAACAGCAGCAACAGGGGCAGCAGCAGCAGGTGATGGCAAAGCGAGTGGTTTTATGCTCCCTGTGCTCTTCCCCCAGAGGTGACTTTTGAGTCGACTCAAAAGTCAGCAGGGAATGGCAAAGCGAGTGGTTTTATGCTCCCTGTGCTGTGCCCCCAGAGCTTCAGCAATGCCTGGTATGTTCCACCCTTACTTTGGAGTTTGGGGTTTTGGCTTGTTCGAACAGCAGCAACAGGGGCAGCAGCAGCAGGTGATGGCAAAGCGAGTGGTTTTATGCTCCCTGTGCTCTTCCCCCAGAGGTGACTTTTGAGTCGACTCAAAAGTCAGCAGGGAATGGCAAAGCGAGTGGTTTTATGCTCCCTGTGCTGTGCCCCCAGAGCTTCAGCAATGCCTGGTATGTTCCACCCTTACTTTGGAGTTTGGGGTTTTGGCTTGTTCGAACAGCAGCAACAGGGGCAGCAGCAGCAGGTGATGGCAAAGCGAGTGGTTTTATGCTCCCTGTGCTCTTCCCCCAGAGGTGACTTTTGAGTCGACTCAAAAGTCAGCAGGGAATGGCAAAGCGAGTGGTTTTTATGCTCCCTGTGCTGTGCCCCCAGAGCTTCAGCAATGCCTGGTATGTTCCACCCTTACTTTGGAGTTTGGGGTTTTGGCTTGTTCGAACAGCAGCAACAGGGGCAGCAGCAGCAGGTGATGGCAAAGCGAGTGGTTTTATGCTCCCTGTGCTCTTCCCCCAGAGGTGACTTTTGAGTCGACTCAAAAGTCAGCAGGGAATGGCAAAGCGAGTGGTTTTATGCTCCCTGTGCTGTGCCCCCAGAGCTTCAGCAATGCCTGGTATGTTTCCACCCTTACTTTGGAGTTTGGGGTTTTGGCTTGTTCGAACAGCAGCAACAGGGGCAGCAGCAGCAGGTGATGGCAAAGCGAGTGGTTTTATGCTCCCTGTGCTCTTCCCCCAGAGGTGACTTTTGAGTCGACTCAAAAGTCAGCAGGGAATGGCAAAGCGAGTGGTTTTATGCTCCCTGTGCTGTGCCCCCAGAGCTTCAGCAATGCCTGGTATGTTCCACCCTTACTTTGGAGTTTGGGGTTTTGGCTTGTTCGAAACAGCAGCAACAGGGGCAGCAGCAGCAGGTGATGGCAAAGCGAGTGGTTTTATGCTCCCTGTGCTCTTCCCCCAGAGGTGACTTTTGAGTCGACTCAAAAGTCAGCAGGGAATGGCAAAGCGAGTGGTTTTATGCTCCCTGTGCTGTGCCCCCAGAGCTTCAGCAATGCCTGGTATGTTCCACCCTTACTTTGGAGTTTGGGGTTTTGGCTTGTTCGAACAGCAGCAACAGGGGCAGCAGCAGCAGGTGATGGCAAAGCGAGTGGTTTTATGCTCCCTGTGCTGTGCCCCCAGAGCTTCAGCAATGCCTGGTATGTTCCGGTTCCACCTTCCACCCTTCCTCTCGAGTTCGGGGTTCTGGGTTGTTTCAAACAAAAGCAACAACAAGGGCACCAACAGGGACAGCAACACGGGCAGCAACAGGGGCAACAGCAGCACGGGCAGCAACAGGGACAGCAACAGGGACAGCAACAGGGACAGCAACAGGGACAGCAACACGGGCAGCAACAGGGGCAAGTATACACCATAATGGCGCGCACTGGTTCATTCATACGAAAGGCGGGCGCACAGGCAGAGATCGTGCTGCGAGTGAAGCACAAGGGCAACCCCCCCTTCGCCTTCCTCTCATCCAACCCCTCACACCCTCTTCCTTTCCCCCCGTTCTCCAGCCCCCAACAGAAAAGGTGTACACCATAATGGGCCGCACAGCATCGTTTGTGAGAAAGGCGGGCGCACAGGCAGAGATCGTGCTGCGAGTGAAGCACAAGGGCAACCCCCCCTTCGCCTTCCACTCCTTACCTTAGACCCCCGTTCCTCCCCTCCACCCCCTTTTCTCATTACTCCCATTCCCCTTTTCCTCCCCCACCCATCTCCTGTTCCCCTTCCTTATTTTTCCCAGCCCCCAACTGAAAAGATTTACACCATAATGGTGCGGACTGCTTCATTCATACGAAAGGCGGGCGCACAGGCAGAGATTGTGCTGCGAGTGAAGCAAAAGAGCAATCCGCCTTCGCCTTCCTCTCCCCTGACCACTCCTTACACCCCTTCTTCCGGTTCCTAGTGGCAAATCCTCAGTTGGTAGGGGAAGGGGGGAAGGGAAAGGGGAAGGGGCAGGGGGAAGGGAAGGGAGAGGAGGGAGAGGGTGGGGCGAAGGGAGGGAAGGAAGGGGTGGGTGTGGGTGAGGGGCAGGGGAGAGTAGGAGGTGAGAGGGGCGGGAGGGTGAGTGTGGAGAGGGGGAGCGCTGTCTCGCTGCTTGGTGCTGCTTATGGGGAGGATGAGGAGGATGGGGAGAAGGAGGAGGGTAAGGAGGAAGGGAAGGAAGAGCAGGAGAGGGAGGAGGGAGTTGAGGGGAGGAAGGGGAAAGAGGAGGAAGAGGGGGAGGATGAAGGGAGAGAAGGAGCCAGCAGAGAGGGGAGCGAAAGGCAACAGGGGGAACCAGCGGAGGAAGATGGAGCATCTGAGGAAAGGGTTACCGGGGAAAGAGTTATCGAGGGAGTGGAGGGAAGTAGGTGGTTCACCGAGTCAGAACCTGCTGAAGCAGCGGAGGAGATGGCGGAGGAGGGACGTGGGGAAGGTGGGTCTGAGATCCCTGCACAGGATAGTGCCTTCCCAGAACAACAGCCTCTCTCAGAACAGCCTCCCCCAGTTGAGCCTCCAGTGGTTTCAGATGAGCCCCCCCCTCCTGGGATGGAGACAGGAGAAGAAGCAGGGAGGGCGGATCAAGGAGGAGGGGAGGGAGAGGCAGGAGAGGAAGGAGAGGAAGGTGATGAAGGGGCGGAGGGAGGAGCGAAAGAAGCAGGCGGAGAAGGAGGAGCAGCAGGAGGAGCGGGAGGAGCAGGTGGAGAAGGAGGAGGACGAGTAGCACCAGGGGCGTTTTTGAGGCGCCTCAAAAACGACCTCAATGCACGCGTGAGGAGCGGGAGGAGCAGGCGGAGAAGGAGGGGGAAGAGTAGCACCAGGGGCGACAGGAGGGGAGGAGGCAGGCGAAGTGCCCGAGTCGGTGCGGGGGGTGGTGGGGAAGATGGTGGAGTTCATAGTGCGCAACGGGCATGAGTTTGAGAGCATTGTGCGGCAGCGGGACGCTGGGGAGGGGCGCTTTCCCTTCCTGCTGCCGGGAGACCGCTTCCACGCCTACTACCAGCGCACACTGAAAGAAGCTCTAGAGGTGAGATTGTGTGGCGTCAGGAACACAAGACTTAGGAGGTGAGGGTTTCAGGTTTAGGGTTAGAATCAAAGGCTTTGCTGCTAAAGTGGGTGTGTCGGGTGGTGGGGAAGATGGGGTGGAATTCATAGTGCGCAACGGGCATGAGTTTGAGAGCATTGTGCGGCAGAGGGACGCGGGGGAGGGGTGCTTGCCCTTTCTTATTGCCTGGGGGACCGCTTTCACGCCTACTACCAACGCACGCTAAAGGAGGCTCTGGAGGTGAGAGCGCGTGCAGTCAGGGATAGGAGACATGGAGGCTGGGGATTCAGGGTTCAGGGTTTCGTTCAGGGCTTATTAGGGTTTGGGGTGTAGGGTTTAGGTGCCAGAGTGGGAGCGAAGGCTGTTGGGAAGATGGGTGGGGCTCTGAGTGCGCAAACGGGCACGAGTCTGAAAGCATTGTGCAGCAGAGGGATGCTGGGGAGGGGCGCTTCCCTTTCTTGCTGCCTGGGGACCGCTTTCGACGCCTACTACCAGCGCACACTGAAGGAAGCTCTAGAGGTGAGTGAGAGTTTGTGGAGTCAGGGGCAGGAGACATTAAGGGCTCAGGGGTTTAGTCTTCAGGTGCTATGTTGGGAGCGGGGGTTTGTGGGGGAAGATGGTGGGGTTTTATAGCGCGCAAACGGGCACGAGTTTGAGAGCATTGTGCGGCAGAGGGGCGCTGGAGAGGGGCGCTGGAGAGGGGCGCTGGAGAGGGGCGCTGGAGAGGGGCGCTGGAGAGGGGCGCTCCCCGTTTCTCTTGCCGGGAGACCCGTTTTTTCGCACCCACTACCAGCGAACACTCAAGGAGGCTCTGGAGGTGAGATTGGGAGAGGGGTGAGTGCATGCAGGGTTGGGCTGGCCTATTCTAATGTTAGCAGCGGGATGCGGGGGAGGGGCGCTACCCGTTCTTATTGCCTAGGTATCGTATCACGTGTAGAAAGTAGATTTTTGAGACGTCTCAAAAATCGACTTTCTACACATGCGGGGTTGGGCTGGCCTATTCTAATGTCAGCAGCGGATCCGGGGAGGGGCGCTACCCGTTCTTATTGCCTGGGTATCTCTTCCACGCCTACCACCAGCGACTTTTGAGGCGCCTCAAAAGGATGCGGGGGAGGGGCGCTACCCGTTCTTATAGCCTGGGTATCTCTTCCACGCCTACCACCAGCGACTTTTGAGGAGGCCCTTTTTACAGTTACTACCAGCGCACGCACACTGCAAAAGGCTCTGCAGGTGAGAGTGTGTGGAGTCAGGGACAGGACCCGCCTGCAGGAGGGGTGAGGGTGTAAGGTTTAGAAATTAGGGTTCAGGGTTTGTGGTGGTTTACTGTTTAGGGTTCAGGGTTTGTGGTGGTTTACTGTTTAGGGTTCAGGGTTTTGTGTGGTTTACTGTTTAGGGTTCAGGGTTTGTGGTGGTTTACTGTTTAGGGTTCAGGGTTTGTGGTGGTTTACTGTTTAGGGTTCAGGGTTTGTGGTGGTTTACTGTTTAGGGTTCAGGGTTTGTGGTGGTTTACTGTTCAGGGTTCAGGGTTTGTGGTGGTTTACTGTTTAGGGTTCAGGGTTTGTGGTGGTTTACTGTTTAGGGTTCAGGGTTTGTGGTGGTTTACTGTTTAGGGTTCAGAGTCTAGTTGCTGGAGTGATGCGGGGTGTGGTGGGGAAGGTGGAGGGGTGTGGCGGGGAAGGTGGAGGGGTGTGGCGGGGAAGGTGGAGGGGTGTGGCGGGAAGGTGGAGGGGTGTGGCGGGGAAGGTGGAGGGGTGTGGCGGGGAAGGTGGAGTGGAGTGGTGGGGAAGGTGGAGGGGAGTGGTGGGGAAGGTGGAGGGGTGTGGCGGGGAAGGTGGAGGGGTGTGGTGGGGAAGGTGGAGGGGTGTGGCGGGGAAGGTGGAGCGGAGGCGTACATTGTGTGCAACAGCCCCTCGGAGTTGCGGGTTGGCTTTTGAGTATTTCCAAAAACACCCTGCAGCTTCAAGGTGGTGGAATACGTTGTGTACCACACCCATTTCCGCCATCCCAGGCGTGTTTTGAGTCGACTTAAAACACGACCCTGCAGCTTCAATCAAGGGTGGTGGAATACGTGTGTTTTGAGTCGACTCAAAACACGACCCTGCAGCTTCAATCAAGGATGGTGGAATACGTTGTGTACCACTCCCATTTCCGCCCTCCCAGTCGGACTGCTTGTGCATCAGCCCCTCCCGTGCTGCCTGCCTGGAAAACTTCCCGTGCCTGGAACTGGATGTGCTTATCTCATTCCATTCCACCCTTTCTTATCCCCCTTTCCCATCCCCCTCTTCCCCCCCACAGCGCGCCAATGCCCCTCTGGTGTTGATGCCACAGCCACCCCCTCGCCCTCGCCCCCCCACTGCGGTCCTACCAGGCGAACTGCCCGTGCCTGCATGCCTCTCTCTCACTCTCCCCTCCTTCTCCACTTTCCCCCCATTCCTGCCCCTCACTCCTCCACCACAGCGCGCCAATGCCCCTCTTGTGTTGATGCCTCAGCCATCCCCTCAAGCTCGGGCCCCCACTGCCATGCTGCCAGGAAAACTGCATGTCCTTCTCCTCTTCCTGCCACAATCTCATTCTTTTGCTCCCCCTGTCCTCTTCCTTGTCTCCTTTCCTATCCGCCTCTTATCCTGTCCCCACATTCCCTTCCCCCCCACAGCGCGCCAATGCCCCTCTGGTGCTGATGCATCAGCCGCCCCCCCGCCCTCGGCCCCCACTGCCGTGCTGCCCGGCAAACTGCCCGTGCCTGCATGTCTCTCTCTCATTCCGCCTCCTGCCCCTTGTTTTCCCCCTTCCACCACCCCCATCCTCCCCCCCACAGCGCGCCAATGCTCCTCTTGTGTTGATGCATCAGCCGCCCCCCCGCCCTCGCCCCCCCACTGCCGTACTGCCAGGCAAACTGCCCGTGCCTGCTTGTCTCAGTCTCATTGCTTCCGTTCTTCCCCTCTATCCCCAATCCTCTCCCCCTTCTCCTTTTCTGTCCTCCCCCCCCACAGCGCGCCAATGCTCCTCTGGTGTTGATGCCGCAACCGCCCCCTCGTCCTCGCCCCCCACTGCTGTCCTTCCCGGGAAGCTGCCCGTGCCTGCTGTCCGCAAACTGAGGGAGGCAGAGGCGGGTGTGGTTCTAAAGATGTGACTCTAGCGGGAGGGGAGTCTGGTAGGGGTGGTGAGGCGGAGGGAGGGGAGGAGGAGCGTGAGAGGGAGAGGGGGGAGGAGGAGAAGGGGGAGGGAGCTGAGGGTGGAAAGGGTGGGGAGGGGAGTGAGAGTGAGGGAGAGGAGGGGACCAAGGGTGGGGAGGGGAGTGGGAGCGAGGGAGAGGAAGGGGAGATACGAGGGCAGGCGGGAGGGAAAGGGGCAAGAAAAGGGGCGTGCAAGAGTCGGATGAGGAGGGGGAGAGTGGGGAGATTGTGAGTGAGGGGGAGGGAGGGAGGAGGGAGAGAAGGGAGAGAAGGGAAAGAAGGGAGGAGAAGGAGGGGTGATAAGGAAGAGGAGGGGAGCAGAGAAGCAGCAAAGGGGGCAGCTGTGGCTGGTTGGTAGGCTCAGTGCCGCAGCAGTGGCAGCAGCAGTGCGTGCAGCGACGAGCAGATTCCTTCCCTCCTCTCACACGCTTCTTCTGCCCTTCCAGCTGCTGCAGCAACAACCGGTGCTGCTGCCACTTCCACTGCTCCCTCTGTTTCACCCGCTGCTGCACCCGCCAAGGCTGCTGCTTTGGTGTTTGGAGAGGAAGAGACTGAGGGTGGGGCGGGGGGACCGGGAAAGGTGCTGCTGGTGGGTGCTAGTGCTGGTGCTCGTGCTGCTGCTGGTTCAGGTGCTGGTAACACAGGTGGTAACCGCATGAGCGCTGCAGCAGTGTTGGAGATTCTGAGGGGAAGGAGGCCCGGGAGTGGACCAGGCAGGTCAGTCACTGGGCAGGGTCTGCTCGTCCTGCTGGTCAATCTGCTGCTGAATTATCTGCTGCACCTTCTGCTGCTCCTCACGCTACTGTCACTGTGTGGCCCCTCCTCCATCTCTCATTCCTACTGCTGCTGCTCCTGGTGGTTCCGGTGCTGCTGCTGCTGCTGCTGTTGATGGTGGTTCTGCTGCTGCTGGTGCTGCTGCGGTGCAAGGAGGGGCTGTTGAGGAACTAACAGCAGAGG